TGGCTTTTTTAACAGTGTAGTAAGTGTTTATAGCAGCAGTATCCAGTGATACACAGCATTCTGTGTAATTGAATTTAAGATTTATTAACTTAACAAGACGTAATATGTAAGGAGGTCAATAACTTTTTACTCACATATTATTGACCACTTTCATAAATGGCTGCCGGATTAACATTCTTTTGTTTAAATTTAAATTAGCCTTTCTGACCTCGTTCTCTAGTTCAAAATTCAAAAGAATACATTATCTCAAGCGAGGCTAGTGAGGCTAATTTGAATTTAAACAAAAGAATACCAATCCGGCAGCCATTTATGAAAGTGGTGTATGCAACTGCAAGTTATGGAAAGAACATCCCTGGGGAGCCAGACCAATTCACTGTTATGATTTTTCTTTCTTTGGAAAACTGTTCATGTGTAACAGCACTTTCAACTACCACTTTGTTTTTCTTATGCTAGGAAATATTTGGTACTATTCTGATAATTTGGGGCATTTCAGGGCATACTTATTTTCCAGACTAATAAATGCCCTGTTATTTAGCATGCCAGCTCCAGGCTTATAACTGTCTAAGTACTTCGTATATCACAATTCTCTCCTCTCTACTTTCCAGTCTGCTCTGCCTGTATTTGACATTATGTCTTGTTTTAACTCACTAGTAGTTTTATTGTATTTAATTTGTAGGACAACTGTACATATTTTTTAGCTTATAATGTAGTAAACTAATGCATGGCTTATAACCCCAATAATATTGTAGTAATGAAATCTCTTAAGTTTATTGTAAAACCTCTTTAGTTTATTAATTGTGGTAATCAAACTTCTTGAGCTTACAATGTGTAGTATTTACTTATTTATTTCTAATACCTGCCAAGACTAGCTAATGCTATATGCGGGTTGTGTAAATTTGCTTATAATGTTCTGTAAAATAATAATAAACAAATACAAATAAACAAAAGACAAATACAAATATTATAAGGATAGTTTCCAATTGATTGTTAAGCTTATGAAAGTGCAGATCTAACACACCACAGCTGTTCATTACATACATTTTACATAAGACTCAGACTTGAAATTAGTGTGATGTTTTCAAATTTGAACCTCAGTAATGTGAGCCTCTATAATCCTGACCTCAATAATATCGGCCTTCAATATCCACATTTTTCAGCAGTTATCAGGACTCGCTTCTCTGGTCCCATTATTTTATCAAGAGATTCATTCCAGCTATCAAACAAAGAAGATGTACCCACTCAAACAATATAGATATATATATATAGATATATACAGAATGTAATATATACAGAATGATATATTTTCTGATTTACATTCACTGTGGCAGCAAAATTCTCTTACTGACACTGCATGACTCAGCCTATCTTGTAAGCAGAGAAGGCCCTGGAACTCAGCATTACAGATGCTGGGTTCGACACTAACGGTAGCCCACTAGCCACGGACTTGTAGAAATTCAGTTTTGGTTAGTGGTTTTCGATTTCCACTAGCCAGTTTGGTTTACTTAGTAAATAAACTGAAATTGTCATAAAATAAGACGTAAGGTTGAAAAGTTAGTGTAGAGCCCTGCAGATATCTTGACTAATGAATGATGTCATCATCACATCCCTCTGTGCACCCCACAATGACTTTCTCTTTTTTAATGTCATGAAGAGGAATATCTCATACGCTGAATATGTGTATTAACTAGAGTAGTACAAGCCAAATATTTTTTAAGGCACAAGTGAATGCTCAAAATTCAATCTAAATTCATTTCATGGTCATGCAATATTCAGGGTATATCGACTTCAATGAAAGAAAAAGTGATTAAATACTAATTGCCAAAGGGACAGATAACTCAATTTATACTAAGGAAATTTTGGCTAGCATTATTTCAGTTGATACACATAATCAGCGTATTAGATTCCTGTTTATCATGGATGATCTTAATTTTAGTACACTTGGGCTGCTCATGGAAACACGAGCTACCCAGAGATGTGCAAGGGGGCTGGTACTGATAGAAAGCTAAAATGAAGCCAGACCCAGATCGGCACTATGCGATTAAGGTGAACCTAATCTTAAGCTCAGAAATCTAGCTGTAAGCAAGCTGCAGTGTAATGTCTCCCTGATTCATGACTGTAAGCAATTTACTTTATGTTATGTCACTTAGGAGGAATCCAAATAGATCATTGCTGTTGCCCGGTAAGCAGGGTTTTTGACCAAAAAGTTGACAGTGGCAGGAATATCAAAATACCCATTAATTGCATACCACAAATTGAATAGAAACCTGTCTTACTAAATCAGACATGTCCCTTTATGTGAATATAATTCGCAGTAGTAGTGCAAGTCTATATCCCTGTGTGGAATCCAGTGGGAGACTGGTATTCAATTTTCCTAGACAGAGTGTTTTAAAATAGGAGAGAAAATACACAAGTTTTCTGTCTGTGCCAAACAGAGGGCAAGTTAGGGTGCAAGACTAGTATTCAGTCTTTTGTGACAGAGTTCTGTCTGTAAAAAAGAGTCATTTTAACATACAATATTGAGTTCCCTGAAGATGTCCTCCCTAAGTTAAAAGAAAGGCAGAGAAAGCAGAAGCTGCAGCATGACAGAAAAGCAAAGGAATTGCCACCTTTGAGGGATGGTGAGGTTGTAAGAATTAGAGAAGGCAACAAGTGGAAACCTGCAAGAGTTACACAGGTTCTTCCCTCACCCTGATCTTATAAGGTTCAAACAGAGCATGGAGAGTACCGAAGAAACCGTCGACATTTATAAAGAACTGAAGAGTCTCAGATCCCGGAAATCACCCCTACACTGGAAGTCTCGATTGATGAGGACCTGACAGACACCAAAGTTGAGCCATCCTCTATCATAGTGGCCCACGAGAATCCTGTAAGTGTAACACTGCCAACAGGAATGTCTATATGGCTATTACCACGTGGTCTGGTCGGACAATCAGAGAACTGCAGAGATTTAAAGACTATGTTAAGTATTAGATACAAAGCAGACACTGCAGCTTTTCACTTAAGCTTTCTGTTTTCAGTTTTCAACAAAAGACACATTGCACTCCTTGCAGCATGATCTGTTTTTCTTTTTTATATTGTAACGGTTTGTTTGTTAAATTGAGTAATTTCAGTTTTCCTTGTTTCTTAAAAAAAGGGGGATGTAGCATCAGGTCAGCGGTTATATTTAGCGCATGCCAACCTGAATAAAGTTTGTTCATGTCCATCTGCCATCTTGGGTGTATGTTGTGTCTTTCCGGAAAACACTTCAGTAGCTGCACCAAAAAAACAGTTGTTGAACGCAAAGTGTCAATCACATGGATGTATAAATTGAAGAGTACCTGGAGTCTACTTCAGTTTGAATGCAAAATTGGGGGCCATAGAAGTTTTAATAATTCTGAGAATCCTGAGTATAACTGATCATCATGCAACATCCTGAGGTACAATTGTTCTATCTTCACCATTTGACTGCTATGCCGGAAAAATAAAATAGTTTGGCAGCTCTCTGTCGAAAAGACTCATACATCAAGACCAATGTTGCATGATTTATTTTCTTATCTGAAATAGTAATTTGTAAACTAAAATTCTGTCAGATTCCACACCTGACAAAAATTTAACCACACCTTTGAAGATTAGTGAGGCTTAACAAAAATATCAATTAGGAATGGATGACAGATTTTTTCACAAAATAAACAAGAATTTGACCAGACTGTGCCTAGGCCCAAACGAAACTGCAGAACACAGATCTTGATCAGCCTCAATAATCTGGACCTTGATAACACAGACCTTGATTCTCCACATTTTTCAATTCAAAGAATGATAAATTGTGCATAGTACATACACTGTGGCAGCTTGAAAAAGAAAACTGTATCATGTCAGCATTTTAGCTGCTTATAATGTTGTTGTAATAAAAGATTTTAATTTGTAAATACTCTAGCAAATTTTGGCAATGATGCAAATTGGTTTGTGAATGTACTTCAGTTCTTGCCTTATATTGACTAAATGGTAGGTCTTAATTTTATTTGTGGCTCATCTGTTTTCAATTATCCACACTCTCCATCATCTGGACGAACCCAGTGGCCACAAGTCGAGATAATAGAGGTTCATCTGATCACAGTGGTTTTTTGCTTTTGTGGCCAGGCACAGCTTCCTAGAGCACATTTAAAAATCTTGTAGAGTCACGTACCTGATTAAGTTCTTTTTTTTTTTTTTTGGTATTGTGTTTGTGGGCTTGGATTCCTTATGCCAACATGTATTGTATTTGATAAGATTGAGATACATCTTAGGAAAATGACAACCCAATTAATTATTGTCCATACTGCGTGACGTGTGGTTGCTATCAATTTTCCTGAAAAAAAGTGTCAATTCAACCTGAGTGTTTCAGTTCTGGTGTGTGTGTGCTTTATTTTTTCCTTTTTTGCTGGAGGCCTTCAAAAGACTCCAAGCACCGTAGAACTCCAGTGTAGGATAATACAGTATGGTACTTACCTCCCTTTCCTGTGGCCAGGGTTTGATAACCAATCTCCTTGCTCAAAGGTTTTTCTCCTTGTATTCAATTATTCTTCTCCCTCCACAACAGCGTTGCTTCAGATTTCAATTTAACTCAGAATGTTTAGAATGAATAGCCACTATGTGGATGTGTACATTTAGCTCCTGATTTTTATTTTGTTTATTAGCTTTTATTTATTAACACACTGGCCAAAAGTCCTCCCACCCCACCACCTGCAATAAGGCAGTTTATTTTGCACTGAATCCTAACAATTATGACATTTCATATAGAGTTCATTACCACAGGCAATTTGAGAGTGAGTAAAGTGGACCTTGGACCATTAGCCCATTCTGAATTTTATGGCGTGGTGCCTGGTAACAGAACGTAAAATGCAGTGATACCCAAAACAGCAGTTAGTAATAAATAACGAATCAATAAGTTTATCAATCATTTCATTAATCAATAATTCATTCTATCAATTCATCAATTAAATCAACCATTCAACCTAGGATTATGTTTTTTTCTTTCAGAGTTCAGTTTGGAATTCTATTATGAACGTTTCTGACACCCAGAAAAGGTGGATAACCTTCGGGATTGCTCTAAATAAGGTTCTGGTCGCAGAAATACGGCCATTTGTTGAACAGGAGATTCGGAAAGAGTATGGAGATCTTAAAGCCAGCAAGAACATCCATACTCAGAGCTGTACAAGTCGACTCCAAAAGCACACCGTGACTTTAAGGTATGAGAACATCAATGGGAACGACACATTACCCAGGAAACCTGGTGGAAAGTATGACTACCCAGCGTTTGACTACCAGGTGACGTCATATATTGACTTTGCCAAGCTGTACTTGGAGAATCACATGGCCAAGTTCAACGCATTTGACGAGCACTGTGATGCATCGGCCGTACTCACATTACTTGGTAAAGTTCCTGTGTTTCCTTCTATTGTTCAGACTGCAGCTGGTATTGTGAAAAAGGCCAGGAATGCCTGGGCGCACTGTGTGTTTAGTGACTGGAACCTAGTAGGTTTTCAGAAGAGCTTTGCAGACATGGAGCAGCTGGTGAAATTTTTGGGCCTGCCAAGTGTTCATGAGACTGCCATCTTAAGAGAACTAAATGATTGGCAGAACAAAGGTAACTTGTATTGCTCTTTAATGTATCCTTTGATATAACACGTTGGCTTACAATTGACCAGGTAGAAATGTTTACTTCTTATTACTTCCTCAACCCCAAGCGTAGAGAAGCAATGCAGACACTACCAGCGAGCTCTTTATGAAGGCATACTGCGGGTTAAAGCAGTCATGATCATTGGTGTTTTAGGGTCGGAAAACAATCTGAAAGAAAAGAATATCGAACAAGGCTGGTTAAAGATAAGGCGATTAACACGGAATGCTAGGAACATGCTTGCGATATTTATGCAATTTTTTCTTAACCCCTTCACCACCAAGATCTCATTAGTAATCCTCTTTACAGTCAGCTATACAATTCGTATGATGTTGGTTCAGAGGATTTGATGTTGGATCAACTCATAATCCCCTGTTGGATATTTTTTATATTCTCACCACTTGTCTGCGTGATATTGTATTGATAATGTAAAGTAGAAATTCTTTCTTGGTTACTCATGGGAGTTAAAGGGTTAATTAAATAGCACCAGCCTCGACCCATCTCATTTCCGTATGTTTTTTTTTTCCACTTAGGAGTCATACTGTGCATGAACGCTACTGTCGACCCGGATCTGGCGAAGGCTGTTCAACAAGATCTCGTTGCTCTGAAGAACGATGTTGATAAGCTGGCATTTGAAAAAGAGGAAGAAAGAGAGAAATTGAAGACTGTGCTTCAGGATAACGTTACAGCTCTCGAGGAACTGGCAAGAAGAGTTTCCAAAATAGAGGAAGATCAAAGCTCCCTGACTGCTGCGGTGAAGATCACACAAAGCCGGATGGGGGAACTTAAATCGCAACAAGAAGATATGTACGCACAAGTCTGTCAGCTGGGAGAAACTTTGGGCTCTAGAGTTGACTTAGCGGAGCATGAACAAGAAATCATTAAGGAGAACCAGAAAACACTCTGTGAAAAAGTTGACACCACACAAGACCAGATAAGTAAACTGCAGTCAGATCAAGAAGACATGGAACGACGCGTCTCTCATTTGAGAGATCAGAACTCAAGTAACACTCAAGTCAGCTATGGTAATGTGAGCTTTTCATTTTACCTTAGCTTACCTGAAACACCCCCTTGCTACATGTTATAGAATCCACAACTAAGGCCTATTTACTTTCGTAACGGATTTTTTTCTGTTGAGATCTCCCTTGAAAGCGTCCATATTTTTTCTGCTTCTGCATGCGAACCACAAAGCGGCTTAAAATACAGGTGTGCGTATGGGGCACGTTTTCTAGGCTTGGGGTAAAATTCTTCCCACTTTTCCATCAAGGTACTTTGCCGGGAACTTTAAAGCAATTATGTCTCTTTCCCTTGTGGGAAATGGATGAAAGTTTGAAGTTATACCTACGTAGATTTCTAGGTCAACAGTCGAGCTTTGTTTTCAAGAAATAGAAACCAGACAAGTTTGTGTCGGGATAAATTTTGGCCTCGCAAGATGGCCGATTTTTAGCCTAAAAATGGACTCCTATATAATTGATTATCAACGATTTTCAATTTGTCAAGCTCTAGTGAAGGTGAGGGCACATTGAAAAAGGTAAATGGCCACAATACGTAAACAGATAAAAGAAAGGAGGAGGAGAAATGAAGGAGGGGGTCAAATTTGCCGCGAGTGTTATACCTGAAGAAAATAGAAAGAACTCGCGAAACACGCCACGTCATCTACTAATCGCTGGAGACTAATGATCAGTAATTCTTCATCCGAACAAGTGACTCTCGTGTAAAGAACAGTCTATTGTTATTTCCGTCACCAGATAGTCTTGTAATTTTTGCTCAATTAATTCCGGATGTTGTGACCCTGTCCCCCTTAAGGTTTGACCCTTCCGTATTCCTTGCCTTTCATTATTAACTGAGAATCTTAGTGAAATGTTAACATACAGCAAAAGCAGGTATATACTTTTTTAAGGGAAATGAATATAAAAAATTTAGATGTGGAAGAGGTTGACAAACTTGCTAGACAGAAACTGAGTTCCGTGGAGTCATGAGTGTTGCTCAGTAGGTTTTGTTCCCAATCGTACTGTGCAACCGCATAAATCGTTGCGAAAGTGACTTTCAAGATTGAAGTACCATGCAAATCCACGAATAAAATCCATCCGTTAACCTTTGGCATAGGAAGCTTTTAAACAAAAGTCTTCTTCGATATTTTTTATGTTCAACATAGAAAAGAGGATCAAAGCGGTTTGGGTGAATTTAAGCCTGAAGATGTCTTTCGTTTCGATGTTTCAGAGATTGCCAGTTGTGAAGCAGACATAACCTTTTTCGCCGAGCGTCATGATCCAGATACCAGAAAATGGTTTTTGGACGATTTCCACAGATGGTTTGAGAATCCTGGAGAGTCCAGGGCGTATGTTCTTCTCGGCGACGCAGGAGTCGGCAAGAGTGTCATGGCCGCTGCGTTGGCACAGAAATCAATAAAGGCTGGAAACTTCGGAGCTGCGTATTTCTGCCGCCACAATGATGGCACAAGAAACAATCCCAGGTATCTTCTAGGGACTATTGCTTTTCAACTTTGCAAATGTAATGTTCAATACAATAGCGTTGTGGGAGGGGAGGGTAGCATTAGAAAGTTTTTAGGCAATTCTGAAATGGGTATTCAGGAATTATTTACAAAATTATTGGAAGAGCCACTAGCCAAATGCAATGCCTTTTGCGAGAGAAAGTTGATCGTTATTGACGCTCTTGATGAGACAAACGATGAGTCCAGGAAAGATTTTCTCGATCTTATTATGTACCGTTTTCCAATGCTTCCAAAATGGCTTGTGTTCTTTATTACCAGTCGCCCTGAAGACACTGTTCAGTTCAGACTGAAAAAGTACAATCCATGCATTAAAATTTGTGCAGGGAACAGCGAAAATCTAAGGCTTTATAGACAGCACGAACGGGACATCGAGCTATTTCTTGAAAAGAATGTCGACTTCTCCAGTTTTCCCTTCTCAGCGTGTGATGTAGCAAAAAAATGCAAAGGAATGTTTTTGTGCGCCTACTACATTGTACTGGATTTAAATGCTGTAGCACATTCAGGTGAGATTGTTCAGCTCGACGATGTTTTCCAAGGAGATATCCAGGATTACTTTCTGCAAAATTTCAAGAGAGTGTTTGAGAAAATAGGCGAGGATCTCTACAAGAAGCTGTTTGGTTGTGCAATAGTGGCCCCTTCTCCGCTCCCACTAACGTTAATCTCGTTCATTTTAGAGAAGGAAAAATCAAATCTTAAGGAATGGAAAGTAATCGATGCCCTTTCCACATTTGTGGTTGTTCGGAAGTCTGATAATTCGTTTGACTTTCCTCACAATCTAATTCCACTATTGCTTACTGAAAAGGAGTCTTCCAGGGAATTGTTCATTGACAGGGATGAAGCAAGTGAGTATTTCAGGGGTGTGGTTGTTGAAGTTCTTTCGGCTGCTATTGAACATCAACAATGGAAAAAACCCTCGGCTGGGAAGGTGTTACTCAATTACTTCGTTCGTGTTGGTGTCCGTTTCTTGTGTGGTTACCAAGACACAGACTCACTGAACATAGTTTTCAATTGTTTGACATGTTTCCAGTTTCTTTGGAAGAGGATAGAAAGAAAGGGAATTGAAATATATGCTGTGATCGCTGATCTTAAGCTCTCACTTGGTTGTCACGGGCTCAGCGACGAACAAAAAGAAGTTCTGCAAGAGATATGTCTCGCCCTTGAGAGCAACATTTATGTTCTTTTGGAATGTCAGCACCTTCTACATTTTTGCTTAAGGAACACGTCTCAGACGGTCCAGTGGCAACTGAAGATTCCTGCTGCTGTGTCAAACATTGGAATGGAATGCAATTGGCTTCGTTGTCATCCTTGCAGAATTCCAGATGGTACCTGTTGCTTTGCTTTGTCTCCTAATAAAAAATTTCTGGCGGTCGGCAGACAAAGAGACTCACCCATTTATTTGTTGGATGCGTGTACTCTTGAGAAGGTCCGAGAGTCGATCGTGGTAGAAGAAATTGGTCATCTCGAGTTTACCCTAGACAGTAACTTTTTATTTTTTGGATGGCTTAACAAAATGTTTTCTTTGGTGGAAGGTTGTGTGAAAGAGTTACCTCAATTTGCAGGAAATAACTATTGTTATCTTTGGGGTTCATTCATCTTTGATGACCAGTACATTATAGTTGAACCAAATTCTTCTAGAATGTCCCATGGTTATTTTTGCCTGGTAGAAATATTCAGTTTGTGGGCCGCACATGAGATGCAACGAATGGATTGTTTAGAAACTGAAGATCTATGTAATTTGGTGGAAAAGGTGGGTTTCGGTTATTTTCTTGAACGCTTGAGGGTTGGATTCTTTAAGTATATTACAGAAGGTTTGCTTTGCAACGAATGCTTATCATGGAGACAAAGACACCAAGAGGCATCCACATCACTTGTTCGTCAGCGTGTTATCGACCTCTATGCAGAAATGTTTCTCTATCAGGTTTGGAATATTAAGACCGGAAGACCTGTACTGGAGGAGGCGTTTTCGGCTGATGTCCCGCTGAATCCATTTTTCTATCTTTGTCACTTGACCTATCTCCCTGATTTGATAAAGATAGCAAATGCGGACGTCTTGAATCGATTTCTCACTCCTTTTGGGGTTGCAATTTTGAACGCGGCATTTTTTTTGGAAGGCAGGGAAAGTAGACGCAGGTGGAGATTTGAACTTTACGAGGAGTTAAAGAGATTTTGTAAAACTCCTTTGATGCCAGATTTTATCAGGCATGCTCCAATAGAGTTCCAAAATTGTCCCACCCTCAGGTGGTCAAGGATTACTGAAGATCGCAAGTGGATTGCAGTAATTATGCCTGACCCTGGCAGTAAGATATGCAAGTTGTTTAAGAGGGTGGACGAACGGGAGAATTTTAATTTTCAAAACCCCTCTTGTATTGTCTTGGAAGTGAATCATTTTGATTTCACTGACGACAGTAGTGTTTTACTTTACATCACGACGAACAATTCACTAGTAGCCCTCACTCTGAAGACTGGTAACATGCTGTCAAGTGTTTCAGGGTTAATCCCATTGCACCTAAGACCTGAAAACCAAGCTGGGTTTCTTTTTCGTGGTCAAGAAGGGAAGAAGATCATCTTTTTAAAGGATTTTCCTGCAAACCTTCTGAAGTTTCTGTCGTTTTCATCCGGAGCTGAAGAAACTGAGGTGGCGTTCTCTTCGTTTGACAACCAAGACTTCCTTGAGGATCCTTCAGTGTTCTTGAAAGAAACGGTAACAGCAGATTCCGTTTTGCCTTCTTGTCAGTCCTCACTAGTAAACCATGGTACAAAATACATATTCTGCTTTTCTGCGGTGGGCATAAAATTAGTGGCCCGTGAAAAAGGTTCTAAGATTTTGTTGTTTAATGGAGATAAGGGCACTCCAGTAGTAGTTAGAGAAGGAGATCGCAAGGGTACCGTTACTTTCCTCAAATTTTCTGTGGACGGCGCTTTGCTTCTCTTTTGCACAGAGAGCCCTGCGTGTTTACTCGTTTGGGATGTTCAACTGAATGTTTTAAAAGCATGTTTTAACTCCCCTCTGGGTTCCCAGCCTGTGCACTGTTGGTGCTTCTCGAGGGATGAAAAGAAATTGATAATTTGCAGCGCGTTTCAAATCTCCATCTTCGAATACGATAAGTGCTCACTTTCCCTTTTAGCAATTTTGGACCCCCCTGGCCCTTTTCGAGAGTTTGACAAATTCACACATTGCACAGTGTCGTCAGACAATGGGGCACTAGCTTGCTGCATTACCGACAGAATTCTTGTCCACGCGTTTAAAACTCCTAAAGAGCCTAACTTCATGGAATTACCACGCGGCCATTTTGGACGCATTGAATTCTGTCAGTTTTTGAAAGAACGTCGCTACCTGATCTCCTATGGCGTGGATTGCACCGTGTTTCTGTGGGATTTGGGTGAGTGGAAAGCTGCTGCATTTGCCAGAGTTGCGCAAGGACGAGAAAGTATCTTAAGCATGGCTGTGTCCCCTTCAGAGGACTGGGTTGTCTGTTTGACTACTTTTCAACGATTCGTCGTAATACACCTCTTTGGACTTGTCATTGATAAACCCAAGGAATTCCCGATTTCAATGTCGACGACAAACAAAGAAATGACAAGCGTGACAAGTTCTAGACGATTTGATCGGCGAAAAGATCCAGCGTCAAAAAAATCTGGACAGTTCTCAAATGATTTGGAACCTATAGACTTGACTGAATATTTTGAAGATATGAATATGTCAGTCGATGAGAATTTGGAAAGTGAAGATGACCTCAATGATTTTGAAGAGATGAACGTGAGGGTTGATGAGAATATGGAGAGTGAAGATGACCTAAATAACGACCACCAATATTTTGACTAAAAAAATTGTTTTCTATTTGAAAAGGTTTTCTCAGATCCTTTTGACCAAAAAGGTTAAGTATAGAAGGTTCGAATTTATACCATTTTACTGCCTTGGTTTCGGAGATAAAAACTTGTTTTCATTAGATGCTGTTAGAGCAAGCTCTTTCGAAAAAAGAAGTTTTGGTTAGGTGCTGAATTATTTCAGGACTATGCCAAAGACTTGCAATCTGTGTTGTGTTAATGCTTCATGCCGTAAGCCCGGTCGCTGTTCAAGTGAGCGAATTAAACAAAAAGTAAATTCTAAAATCCTCAGTCTTAATTGTTCACCCATTTGAAGCGAAAGTGGTTGAAGAACACATGCAGATAGCTGAATCTTGCTGCTCATGTATATTTTAGAAGGTCGATCACCCCTGGACTCATACTCTGCTGTCTCGTCTTTGAGACATATTCGGGTTTGACTGTCCATGCGTTAATTATATGTATTATAGAAATTACGAAGTGTCCTTAATGACAAAACTCAAGCCAACCACAACCAAACCACGTGTAGTTGCGGCAAAAGAGGGGTAAATGTAAACCCTGTAAGGTGTGAAGTTATTTTAGGTAACCAACAAATAAAACTTGCGTTCATTCCTGGACGTAATTGAAAAGAAAGGTAGGAATCGACAATAGGAGAAAGTTCCTCTACGACATAAAAAATTTATGCAAGATATCAAATGAGGTCGAAATGGTTTAAATGCTATTTCCCTATTATCTTGTCACCTCAAAGTAAACATTGTAGCAAATGTGGTTGTCCCACTGAAATGTGCAATACGTTTTTCTCTCTTTTATCAACTACTGACACGTATGGAACATGTTATCATCATGACCTTCTTCCGTGAACAATAGAAAGCTTTATCGGTTGTTACAGCAACACTTAGCAAATGCTAGTTACAAAAGTGACTGATATTTGTCTTGAGAACTTAACAAATGGTTTGACACAAACTGAGGTGATTTCGCCATGCCGATTTTCAGAGGAAGGCTAGGAAATGTGCAAACTTGTGTAATACGCGTGCACAGCCATTGTTCGGATCATTGCATGTTTCGTTTTGCTTCTAACTTAGTAACTATAGTAAGGCCTTCCGTCCACTCTGACCTGGATAATTTCCCCTTTAAAGGATAACGACATCCTCTTTAATCGCGTGTAAAAGGATGCGATCAAGCGATTCTGCTGTTCATGATCGTTTTGACGTGATCACAAAAAAATTTATCACCCTCTCAGTGTGGGTGGTACACTTTTGCTGTGTTTCCACTCTGAATTTATCCAGTTGTGTTTGGGCGGGGCCTTGGACTTTCTCTCAAAAAAGTCTAAAATGATTTTCCATGTTTAATCCCAGTTACTTGCTATTGATTGTAGCAAGCGTACATGCGTTTTACATTGTTTATCTTAGACAGTACAATCTTAAATTGCTGCACAATGTCCTGATTTAAAAAGAATAGAGACCTTGTTTGTTTTTTTTCGTTTTGCAATGCATTTGGATAATTTGTTATTCATCTGATACTGTAGTAACATGAAGTACTTAGTTCTTTTCAGAAATGTTATAAAAGGTGCTGTAGGTATACAAAGACTTCAGTTGTAGAATTGGTAATAAATAAGCGTCTCTAGGTTAGGAAAGAAAAATTTCCATAGGTTCACAAATATAGCTCATGATTAGTTACTTTATAACCAGTGACCGTGGAAATGTTAAGATTTAATTACCCTTAAAATGTAAATTTAGTTAAAATAAGAATAAAGTTATTGTGAAAAGATAATAAAAATGGTGTGGTTGATTTTTTAGACAAGTAAATAAGCCATACTAAAATTTTTGGAGCAGAAACGATTTGTTGGCACACTGCTTCTCTGCTTTTCGGTCGGTTCAACGGCTTCCAAGCGAGCGACACCACCAAACTTTGAAATGCGTGCGATTTCTTTGCTGTTTAAAGTTACATTTCCATAAACCTTTAAAAAGGGAAACTCGGGCAAAAGTCTCTATAAAACCGTGATGGTAGCTGAAACTTGAAACATAATTCATTACAGATGATTGATGCACGAAAGGCGTGAAAAAGACAATTTCCTGGTGGTGGAAAAATTATTTAAAGTATTCTGGGGGAACAGTTTAACAGTTAATAGTAATTCTGGGGGAGCAGTTTAACAGGTAATGTAATTCTAAGAACAGGGGGAGCAGGTTAACAGTTATGTAATTTTAACAATAAAACCGGAAATATTCAAATATTTCGGCGTCATCAACCCTGAAAGCAGTGACCATCATCTTATCTATGGCCTGTTGACAAAAGCAGTGTATCAACACAAGCGGAAGATCATAACGTTCAGGGGCCTTAAAAATGTTGACATGGACTTGCTAAATGAAAATCTTGCTACCGCCCCGTGGAGTGTTGGAGAAATCTTTGACACGCCTGATGATGAGTACGAGTTCTGGTTCGCTTTGTTTGAAAGTATTCTAGACGAGCATGCTCCGAGAAAGAAAACGAGAGTCAGAGATTAGGATGTGCCCTCTATGACAAATGAATGGAAAAGAGCCATCAAAAACAAAAGAAAATATGCACAAACGTACGCGCGGAATCGCTCACCTGAAACTTGGGAGCTAAAACGAAAGTGGAGAAACATCGCTACTAGGGAAAGGAGAAAAGCTATTAAAGATTATTGGGCACAGAAGTCTAGTGAGCTCAAAACAAGGCCAAGGGATCTCTTTCAGACCTTCAATCCATCTCTAAATTCCAAAAATAGAGATACCACAAACATCTCCATACGGATTAATGATAGCATAATTCGCGACCAAAAAAAAGTTGTGGAAATATTTGGAGACTACTTCTCAACAATGGCAAATGAAATTGGAGGCAAGCACGTCCTTCAGCTAGGGAAAGAAGATTTCAACACGCATTTGAGCGTGGAAGCAATTCGCCATTCTTATCACAGTCTTCACTTTCGATTCAACAAGATAGACTCTCGTGTAGTCGAAAACGAACTGAAGAAGTTAAACACCCCTAAAGCCACAGGGTGGGATGCAGTCTCAAACAAAATCCTGAAGCCAGTGGCCGTCAGTCTTGCGCCCTCGTTAATGACACTTTTTAACAGCTGCATTCAATGTGGACAGTGGCCGAGTAACTGGAAGAGGGAAGTTGAGACACCAGTTTTTAAAAAGGAGGAGAGGACTGATTATGCCAATTACAGACCGGTAACAGTCCTGAACGCTCTAGCAAAAATTGTTCGAATCATTAATCAGCGAACAAATCACAGAGAAAATAGTTACTAATCTATATGATAAATTGTCTGCATACAGGAAAACGCACAGCTGCGAAACCAACTTAATTCGCGTAACGGAGGACTGGAGAATAGCAATGGATGACAAGGAATGCGTAGCGGTCTTATCAACGGACATGAGCAATGCATTCGACTCGCTACATCATGCCCTCATGACTAAGAAACTTGAGGCCTACGGATTCTCTGACGTGTCCTTAGAACTAATGCATTCCCACTTCACTGAGCAAAAAAACTGCGTCAAAATCAATGGAGTGACAAGCACGTGGAAAGAACAGCTAAGGGGCTGCCCGCAAGGTTCACTGCTACGTCTGTTACTGTGGAACATTATCCCAAATGACTTGCCTCTGAGCGTACAAACCAGTAACCTGTTCATGTATGCTGATGACCATCAGGTCTATCAAAGTGGACCTAGTGTCACAGCTATAATCTCTGAACTCACAAATGAAGCGGAAAATGTATCACGTTGGTATAGGGAAAATTTCTTCCATGCCAACCCGAAAAAGTATCAAGTTTTAGTAATGACGCCTCGAAACGTTGACAAGGAAGCAAAGGACGAATGTATTCTTGACATCGATAATCAAAAACTCAAACCAACAGCTAATTTAAGAGTTCTTGGAGTAAACATAAATGATAAGCTTAGTTTTACTGGACACATAAGGGACATCTGTAAAATTAAACGTGATTAAAAAAATAGGGGTGCTAGTAAGATTACGCAATCTAATCTCTAGCAAGACCAAACTTCAACTTTATCTAACAGCAATTCTTCCTCATTTGACGCATTACCAAACGGTATGGCATTTTTGTAAGCAATCCGAGAGGAGAAAATTGGAGAGGCTGCAAGAACGCACTCTAAGAGTAATTTACAACTGTTGGACGGATACTTACGAAGACCTTCTACGACGTGCAAAGTTGCCCTATCTCTACAATAGGAGGCTTCAAGAGATTACGATCTTAATGTACAAAGTTAGAAATGGCTTAGGCCCCGACTACATATATGGGTGAACTTTTTAATTTTAAAAACAAAGTGTACTCCCAAAGAAATGCAGATTTCGTTATACCTCGCTACTCAACAGTGAGATACAGAAAACACTCCATTAGATATCTTGGCCCATATTTATTCGTCCAGACTCTCCCCTAGTGATCGACAGCAACCCTCACTGGACAATTTTAGACAGAAAATTAGAAAGAAAGACTTGACTTCTCTTATTGAGGGCACATGCAGCAACTGTGCTTTATGCACACACTAAATATCAGATTATCTTTGAAATGAGCGATATTTAAATAAGCGAATAGTTTATATTTTAGAATTTTTATGAACCGTTTTTACCTTAACAAAAGAGTGTAATTTTCAAAATAGTCCCGTGTGATGTTCCTATTTTTAATTTTATTTTTATTTGGAATGTTCTTTTAGTGTCCACAATTAGCTTAGATTTAGCTAAATCCTCTGACACTTAATTAAAGTTCATTCATTCATTCATTTGTGAATAGGTGTATTTCAGATACTCTTGACAGGACGTGATTCAAATCTTATAGTTTTGACGATCATTTCGTTTAATATGACAATACTTTATTTATATTCACATGTAAAGACAGTCAACACCGTTGACTTTAGTTCTTTCAGATTTCACCGTTTTAGATGCGTTTTAGCCATTCGTCAGTCTCACTTTAATAACACTCATCAATTGTGTGAAATAGGGACGGATCTACAGAAACAGTCCAAGAGAGGATTAGGAGACTTGCAAGAGGCATAGATATATTTTTTCGGTATTGACAGATTTTTTAACGTTTCCTCTGTTACTAGTTTTTTTTCGACAACAACAAAACAAATTAAGAGCCAACTCAGTAACGTGCCAAGCTACATGACGTGGAATAATTTCACCCCCATCAATGATTAGAGCCTGGATTAAAAAGGACCGTGCAGATGTTGTCAATATTTCCATTTGTCCCTTCCTTTCGCTGAGTTTCGTGTAGTGAGTGCAGCTGAATAAGTGCAACGTCCTTTGATAAGTGGGATTGATTCTCGTCTGATAGGGGGTGAGTTAGTTCCACTTCTTTTTTCTAGCTACAGCGAAAAGGAGAAGCGCAGAAAACTCGTGAATAATTATTAGGAAACCGTGACGGTAGCTCTGAAGATAAAGTAGGCGAAAAAGTTCAAAGCGCCATTACTATGTACTAAATACTGAGTTACAAAGTGAAAGTTCTTAGAAGGACAAACTGGATCTTCGGGACTGAAGTGTTCTATTGATAAATACACTACAAACGGTGACATTGAAAAGAAAAATACCACCACAATTGCTAAAGACATCTTAAGTACATATTTTTGCGATTTCTCTTTTCGCGGCGGCTAAAGTGAACCGCTAAATTTCGCACCCCAGGAAGTGTTTGCTTCCTCAGCTTTTGCACTATTAAACCATAGAAAGTTGTTATCAGGAGCAGCGGTATCACATAATTTAATGTTATCAGCACTAAAAAGGACGATTTTTGTACATCTCTTGACCAACCCAAAAAACAGGATGTTTTACCGTCGTTAAGAGTGCCAATTTGGAATCCGTAGAGATATGGGGCGTGAATAACTATTGATATCAACCAGATGAGCAAAATAATGTATTTCAATCTAGTTTGATTCGGACAGCTTTTAGTGGGAACCAAACAGCGTAGAATTCGAAACGGTCCACAGCGATCGTCACCAAGGTCTGAACGGAAACCAGCGTAGAGATGTCTTGAAAGAATGCCGTAAGTTTGCAAAGGGCTTCTCCAAATGCGCCATCGTTAAGCCATCGGTGATTTCCGAAGATTATCTCGACGTTAGCCCGAGGCACGGCGAATATTGGAACAAGGAGGTCGGAAATGGCCATATTTACGTTAAGCAAGTTTTGTAGTGGTTTTCATTTTGTCGTCTCGATAAACTACCATGATGATCAAAGTGTTTCCAATAAGTGACACTACAAGAAGCAAGCAGTAGGCAAACGTCTTCCAGACTTTAGCTGCCACAAGATCCTCTGTTAAAATGCAGGATGTCATGTCGTTCCCGCCAGTAGCATTGCTTACATTTATTCCGAATACTGTTGTAGAGCCTTCACAAAATAATCGGATGATGTGGAAACTTTGATATCTATTTAATGAAAACCACAACTGAATTAGGATCGCAGTGTGTTGGACAGAGTGATCAATTTTTGAAGTATTTTGATTCAACTTTACTCTGTGGGATGACTGCACGAAATGCGAATTTAAGAGAGGTCACTAAAAATCAGACAAATTCACAAATCACCGGCAACAGTCAAAAAATCAAATTGGCTACCTAATATTCTAGTATTAGGTAGGCCTATAGGTAAAATAAAAACAAGACATATACTTTGTTGAAAAATTCTTTTGTCTACTCTGTAAAGTTGCTGGCACTCTGCACTTAGTATTTACCCCTCGAGTCCATCCAAGACCAAGTCTTGAGCGATGAAGTGGGCATATTGTCCATTTATCAACACC